TGCAATATTTTTAAAAGTTAAAGAGGAATATTATACAAAAGATAAATTTAAAATTCTAAACACTTTTTGACTTACTATTTAGGAAACAATTTGCTCATTTATCCCTACATATATTCTCTTCATTTCAAAATATAAATATTTCAGGATGACCTCTAGATTAATTTATATATTTATAAGACACTGATATTTTGTCAATTTTGTACTTCATTTAATACATCGAAATATTTACACATTAATTATAAATAAAGCTATGGTAAGAAAAATGTTAATAAATATTATTTTAAACTTTTAAAAAGATATATAAAATAACATATTTTTTAAAAAACTTATTTTATGAAACGAAGAGAGTTGTGTGTACATATAAACAGATATAAACAGATGAACAGCGTGCAGCTGGTGGATGTCCGTACATGTTGAGTAGGAAATGAGGCATCTTTTAACACTGGACTGGTAAATTTCGTTCAAGTATGAAACTGAAAAAGCTATTCCATCGCTATCGCTATCACTCGCTCAAGTTTTTTTTTTTTTTTTTCCTTCGATGAAACATATCTCGTTCAAGTTGATGTACATTCTAATTTTAATTAGTCGTCTTATTATGTAGTTTTTCTTGTGTATTTTTTGTCACACATAATTATTTTTTTTATTAAAAACAATTCTGTTTGAAATATCAACCAGCTCTAAATATGAATACCTCTTTTTATATATGAGATTTGAATTATTTAATTTATCACGCTTAGAGAAGCCAACCCCTTCTATTAATCCTGGCCTCCTAACTGTAATTTTTTCTTCATAAAATATAAATGTCATTTACTATTAGTTCCTAAGTTGGCATTTTACAAAAGATTGAAGACACTATATATTTTTCATTTTAATTTTATATATAATCTTTTATGTATATATAAATAACACAATTGCTTCAACTTTTGATAATATAGCTGTCATGAAATTTATTTATTTTCAACAAGATGATACTATATATATATATATATATATGTTTTTAAAAACATTAATATTATTTAATTTTTTATTTTATATTTGATGAAAGAAATTATGAAAATTATAAATGACAAACTTTATCAAGAATTTGAATAAAAATCTCAAAATATATTGAATGCTATGCGTTTGATATTTATTATAAAATCACTTATTTAAAAGTTAAAGAAATTATAGTTAAGATATTCTTTTACAAAAAATACACTTTTTTTCCTAATAATCCAGCTATTAAAATTTATAACATAAATAATTTTTACTCTAATATAATTCAATTTCATCAATATAAATATTTTTAACAATTTAGAGTCATGACTCATTGTATTGATGTATTTTCTATTATGACATTACTGTATTGATCTGTCATTATCATATTAATAATATATATAGATTTAGTTTTCTTTTATTATCATCAACATTTTTTCATCTCGGTTACTCTAATTAAAAATTTTTGGCTTTGCCCCTTGATGTATGTATCTTAATTTATTCTTTGAAGTGATAAAGTGCGTTGAAGAAGAAGAAGAAAAAATAAGTGGAATAAAGAAATAAAAATAAATGAAAAAAGCACCATGATTGGGACGTGGAAGCAAGTGTGATGGAACTAGATGGGCAACAAAATCTTATCCTCTATCTTTCTTTTTCCTGCGATTCCCCATCACATGCCCATCAACATAATCAACATAAATTAATTAAAGAATCATCAAACCTATCAATTAAAGTTAAACTATACCTACATGCTTCTATTCTCAATGCTTATGTATCATTATCATTATATAATACAAAATGTATATACCTTGTCATACTTACGTGACTCGTTTTTAAATTTCATGTAACATATGTAGATGCCCAAAATGCCCACTCATCTGGTTTTACGTACCAAATAACTCCTTAGTATACCCCCCTTCGTTAGTCGATAGTGAAATATACTCCCTCCAGTTTTTAATATGTATATATATGTATATATATAAGATGAAGTTTGGAAATTTGTTTTATCCTTATATAAGATAAAAAAAGAATAATTAATTTATTAATTAATTTATTTTTTTGAATTCTTAGAAAATAATTTATTATAGTTATTAATTATAAAAAAGATAAAATTAGAAAGTTGCACATTATTTTACAATTTTAAGGTTACAGCTAATATTTCATTCAAACTTCCTCTTGTATTGAATATCGGAGAGAGTATACAGCAATGTAATGTCGGTCCTTCTGATTTTCTTTTGTATATAATATTATTTTTATCGGCTTCTGTTTATAAATTATTTTTAAAAGTTTTTTATGTCCCTCTTTATAATTTATTTTCGCAAAATACATTGCGAGGGCTCCTCTGTTGGATTCTATGTAGTTTTGCGTGATGCGTTTCTCTCTTTCTATTTTAAGGTTTAATTTTATTTTTATATTTATTTTTTGAGCGTTGAGCACCTATACTTTTAAATGTAACAATTTTTTTCTTGAAGTTTTTTTTTTTCAGGTGTAAAAACATTCTTCTATTAGGAGGTCATTAACTGTATTATTTTCTACTTGCAGGACATATGCATGAGGCTCATATATAGTGATAAGTAAGTCTCTGACCATATTCGTTAGTGTTTATTTGTCATTAAACCTTTTTTTTTAAAGCGTTGGACACTTTAAAGTTTTTTTTTAAGAGCATTACATATCTTGAAGTTTTATTAAAATAAAATTTAATAAATATTTCTAAAATATTAAATATTTTCATATTTAAGAATTTAAATATTATTATTTATAAATATTCATTCAAAATTATAAATTATTTTTAAAATATTAACAACTCAAGCTAGCATTTTAAAATTTATAAATGACTTCTTATTTTTTACATATCGATCTTCGATCTTCTTTTTGATATAGTGTCCAAATCATTACGCCTCGAAACTTACTTATATTTTTACTAATGGTTAAGGTCTTTAAATTTTTAGGTCATTTTTTGTAATTTTTTTTGCCAACTAATGATTTTTCTCCAAAATATTGCACTACTTAAATTTAATACTCTTTGTATGTTGTAGTGTTAGAAGTAAAATAAAAAATATGACAAATCAGGACCAACAATATGCTAATAAAAATATTTATTTAAAAAGTGTTGCTTATTTCATTAAAGTCCTACAACAAAAGTTACTTAATAAGAGAAAAACAAAGAGATAAGAAGAAAAAAATATCTTCATTAATTTAGAGGTTAATTTCCTTCATTTTTAATACAAAATTATAAAATATCAAAAATATTAAGATATTAAAGTGGGTGGTGTAATGTTTTAAATATTAATATTTAAACTATTAAATATTAAAATAATTAATATTTATTAATTTTTTAATAAGATTTCAAAGTGAGAAGCGTTTCTAGAAAAATGATTTAGGGACAAATTAATAACAAAAGACATGATCAAAGTCTTAAATATCACTATGTGTGGACCCTATGCATATATCATGTTAATGAAAAATGAAAAAATTAATGGTTGACTAATAGAAAGGATTTTTTGCTCCTTAAAAAAAAATAGTTCAATAATAAAATTACCTCTCATTTAAGAGTATAAGATATTCAACGTTCTTAAAAAATAAATACAAGAATAAAATTGAACCTAAACCATTCTTTATATGCTTGAGTCATTTTCAATCTCTTTGCTCCAATTCCATCTGATGACTAACTAAATGCTTCTCCTAAGTTAGAAATCGATACTAATAATGATCTTATTAAGAAGAACAATTCGTGCCTGCAGCCTCCTTTCAATTTTTATTCTCATCCTAATGTTTCACATATATGTACATCTATATTACTTTTAATTATCTAATCCAAACTAAAAAAATGTTATTATAAGTCATTAACTTTTTTATTATGAGTTACTTTCTCCAGTTCAAAATATATAAGAATTTTCTTTCCATTAATTTTGGCTCAAAACATGAGCAATCTAGTACACATTAAAAAAATTTTATTTTATTCCTTGTATTTATTAACTTAGATATTTGTTTAAATATATTTTTGACTCATCATAAAAGACATTAATAATTGGGACTAGAGGTAACAAGGAAAAACAAAAGTATACTCCATCCATTTAAAAAATACAAAATATTTGTTGAGGAGTTGGATATTCAAAAATATAAAATATTTTTAATCTTTCGAGATGTAATCATTACCTTTTTTTTTCAAATTTTCTCCTATTGATAATAATTTTATATTTATTATAAGGTGTTTAATAGAGGTAAATATAAAAAGATAGAGTTAGTTAAAAAGCATGTAACCACTTTATTGGGAGATAAAATTTAATTAAAAAATCCTTATATTTTTAAACGGAGAGAGTATATTTTTATGGAAATGAGAATTTTATATGCATGCAAATTTTTTGGGAGGGAGTCAATCATTAACTTTATCTAAGAATGGAATAGATTTTTGATTTTAACTATATTTAAGTAAAAAATTTTAAAATTTGCCTTGTATTTCGTCTCATAATAAATAACTTTAAATAGAGATAATATGATAAAAATTTAATTAATATTAAGTGACTTATAATATGAATCACCCATTTTTAAAAAATAAATTAACCTCGTAATATTAATAAGCTGAGGGAGCATATATAAAAATCCAACATTCCAACAATAAAAATAACTTTTCGTGTTTGGTTGCTTCCCCTCGGCCCTCGTTCCATTGAAAAGCATACATGGACAAAATAATGTCGATATTAATAAGAAGACATGATAATAACTTTATTAATATAGAGCACATGCCTCTACGTACTAGTTAAATTTCTTATCCTCTAACTGATTAAATTCATTATGCGGATTAATATAACATTTGCAATTTTTTTTTTTGGGACCAAATATAACATTCGCAAGTTGAAATTATCAAAATTATCTGCAGGGTGTGCAACCATCCTAAAGCCACGTTAAATATGTTCAGCAAAGAGCAACCTTTTAAGAATAAACAAACATTTTTTTCAGTGTCACACACACACACAGAGACACATACACACAGGGTTCCACCTTGTCCCTATATAAAAGCCACACACACGGAGACACGTGTGGCATATTCTCATCTCTATTTATCGCCCTCACCAAAAATCTCTGAAATCTCGATACATTAATAAAATGAGTAGCCTCAGCTTCACAAGTTTAAACCTCAGCTTCATCATCATCACCTTCGCCATCTTCTTCTTCAGTCCTTCTAATGCAAGTCAAACCCCTCAACCTCAAGTTTCAGATAATATTCTCAGAATCCGCCATTTTTTCCTTCACAAGGTTTCTGAACTGAAAGACCAAGCTCAAAAATTCCAAGAAACCCAGTTCTACCCATCAAGCCATTTAGTTGTAGCTGCAATTCTCTGCTTCATAGCTTCCTCCATCTCCAGTGCTGGTGGCATAGGAGGAGGTGGAATTTTCATACCCATTCTCACCATTATCGCTGGCGTAGACCTCAAAACAGCTTCGAGCCTGTCGGCTTTCATGGTCACAGGAGGTTCTGTTGCAAACGTTGTCTGCAATATGTGTACTAAGAGTCCTAAGTTTGGCGGGAAGACGCTGATTGACTATGACATAGCTCTTTTATCAGAGCCTTGTATGCTGCTAGGAGTGAGTGTTGGGGTTATCTGCAACCTCGTATTCCCCGAGTGGCTGATCACTATTCTGTTTGCTGTTTTTCTGGCTTGGTCTACGGCCAAGACCTGTGGAAGTGGGGTTATGTTTTGGAAGACTGAATCAGAAGAGATTACGAGGAAGGTTAATGTTGGGTTCGGGGAAGTTGGTGAGAAAGGGGTTGTGGGAGAGTCTCTTTTGGGTCATCATGAAGAGAATTATGACAGATTGACACTTCCTTGGCTCAAACTTGGGGTCCTTCTTTTAATCTGGTTTTCTTTCTTCTTCCTCTATCTTCTTCGTGGCAACAAGTATGGACAGGTACGGCTAACTTCTTCCATGGTTAAACTTAATTATTAAATATACTATCCTATTATTTATCCCAATCCAAAATCTAATTCAACCTATATTAATTTGTTAATTTAGGTATCTTATTTGTTTATTTACATCTTGTGTTTGGGATCTAGCTCAACATACTGTAATATTTGCGGTAAATTTTATATGAAATTTAGAAAGGAACTTTGCAACTTGCAAGTGTTTAAATCATTAAGAAAATAGTTAATAAATCACTTACGGTAAAGAACCTGATTACCTGAATAGGCAAACAGAAAACTGTTCATCTTTATCTTTTGGTCGTATATGATGGCATAGCTTTCATTCTTCTTTCTTTTTTGCTTTTTGCTTTTGTCCATTTTCAATGACGCAGGACCAAGTGGCGCTGTGCCAATATAAAATGAGTGATATAGATAATATTTCTGTGTGCTTTCTTTTGATGTGGTGGAACGGTGGTCCCTCTGTTCTAGCAGCATCTAGGAATTTCTGGAGCGTGCTAGTGCAAAACGGTTGGTTGGCATAGGTACACAGTACACGAACTAGCATAACAGTAAAATACTAAAATACAAGTTTTTTCTTTTTTTTTTAAATACTGAGAATCAATAGAGTCATTGAACTGATCGTATATTAGCAGACTTTAACATTCGAAACATTAATTATGATATGTGTAACCAGCTGATGCATGGTACTTCTAATAACATGTTTGGAAACAAAACCAGATGTGGATGAACATTGTTTCAGTGAGGTTGATAGTCTGGTTTGTTCATTCTGGGAAAAGCCATTGGAACTACTTTGATTCTTACAGCACATTGCCAATTGATAAACTATGTGCAGAGTGTAATTCCAATGGAGCCATGTGGCGTGGGGTATTGGATTCTCTCATCAGTTCAAATACCACTTGCTGTAATTTTCACTTACTGGATTGTATCCAGAAAAGAGACACTTCAAGATCAGCCTATAATAAGTCAGGTAGTTCCATTCCATAAACCTCACCGCCTTAAAACCAATGCTTCTTACTATTTCAAACAGGCAATTAAAGTATATCTAATCTTATCCCAATCAACATCACAGGACCAGGATTTGACTGGAAATGGACCCTCAAATAAGCTTATCTTCCCATTAATGGCACTGTTAGCAGGTCTTCTGGGTGGCGTCTTTGGAATTGGAGGTGGAATGCTGATAAGCCCCCTTCTTCTTCAAGTTGGAATAGCACCTGAGGTAAGTTCCACTGCCTTACAGTATTTAAACTTTCATATAAATAATATATATATATACATATATATATATATATATCTCTGTGTGTGTGTGTGTGAGAGAGACAGCTTAGTTGGTAGCAACTGAGAAGTGATTTTTGTTTGTATAGGTGACAGCAGCAACTTGTTCTTTCATGGTTTTCTTCTCTTCTACAATGTCAGCATCACAGTACCTGTTGCTGGGCATGGAATATACAGAGACAGCACTAGTATTAGCAATTATATGTTTTGTGGCATCAATGCTTGGGTTATTGGTTGTGCAGAGAGCAGTTCACAAGTATGGAAGGGCATCCTTGATAGTTTTCTCAGTTGGCATAGTTATGGCTTTAAGCATTGTTCTGATGACAAGCTTTGGAGCCATTGATGTTTGGAGGGACTATACATCTGGAAAATACATGGGCTTCAAGCTTCCCTGTTAAGAGTTCAAGACAATTATGTTTTCTTACAGTTTTGTGATAGCCTGCTAGAATTTCTACTCAGTAGTACTATAACTTGTGCAGATATTTATCAGCTCACACTAAGATTATGAAATTTCCCAGAGCAGGGCAAAGCTTTAGGCTTCTCAATCTTCACTAATCTCAGTGATAGTAGCAGGGCAAAGCTCTAATCTTCATTTAATTAGCCATTTTTCATGATCCCCAATCCTGATAAGCAAGAATTACAGAAAAATATGGGAGGACACTGATATTCAAATGCAAATATGCATTAATCAACAAGCTCAAAGCAACAGGTATAACCGGATATAGCCAATTAAAACCAAAGAAAAATTTTGAAGAAATGGATGAGAAACAGAGCTTAAAGGATCAAAGAGAAAGAGAAGCCTATTCTAGGAGGTATATTCTCTCTAATTCTATTTATAAGTCATTTTCAATATGTTTCGCAGAAATTAAAAAAAAAATCATTTACCTCCGTCCTAGAATGGTAAAATATTTTATAACTATGACAAAAATTACTTTTTTCTCTCTATTTTTTAAATAAGACTAGAGGAATATATCACCAAACACCTTAGTCCATTAACCCTTTTTACTGGCCCATTCATATTTCTCCAAAGCTCACAAGCCATTTTCTCATTTTTTGCTTATATCCTTATTAACCACTAAACATGGCAATTTAGACCCATTCTACTATTGAACTCAATTTAGGACATAACCTTTCCCAATAAATGAACCTTGTTCTCAAGGTTCAAACTTAGAAAAAAAACTTGAAAAGTAACCAAGTCAATATGCCCATGTGGATCCAACCCATTACAAGGAACAAGGCTATAAGAGACCACAAAATGTGGTGAGAATTACTTAAGTGTACCACATCATTAACAAGTCTAAGGGTATCGCAGTGATGCACACAAATATATTTTATCATAAGTGTATGGTTTGTAAATTAGTAAGTGATAAATCAAAGTTGATCTCATGAGAAATTAAGTTAATTGATAATTACAAAATAAGGTCCCCATTTTCATTTAAGTTGAGTAAAGAGAAATTTGAATTTGATATTGCAAAATAAAAATTAAAATTATAAAAAGGTACTAAAATAAAAGTTCCAAAAACCACAAATAATCAAGACAACCTAAGGTGGCTAATCCCTTCTTCAATTCATAGAGCATGTAATTACCTAAATAAATTTACTTAATATTAATTTGTTAATTTAGAGTATTAATATGAATAATTATCTTTCGATTATTACACTCTTCTCTTGAATTAATATGTCATTCCTAATACAAATATTCAAGAGGCAATAAGGCACCAACTTACTCTAATGTGATTATATGAATACAATAGATATATTTCTATCCTATTGGCAAATTAGAATAAATTTTAATCCCACATTATTCAATTTAATGGTCTAATTCAAATTTTTCTCATCCAAGAAAAAACCTAAATCCCTAAATTCACACTCAATGCTGGCCAAGCATTAAGTAGACAAATAAGCTCAAGATTAAGTAAACAAAACTAATATTAAACTCAAATAAATAGTTAAAACATGCTATAATCCAATAATTAGTTTATAGCTACCCTAAATTAAGAGAAAATCAACCACACATGGCTCCATGACAGCAAAATCAGCAATATATATATATATAGCAAAGTAAAGAGAAGAAACAGAAGAAAAGCTTAATTGGAGTAATCTAGATCGAAATCCTTATTTTCACTAAACTCAAGCTTCTTTAACACTCATTTGGCTCTTTTTAGATTTGTTTTTTTGAACTTGGGCTCCAAAATTTTTACCTTTGGGGCCATAAATTGGGCCTCCCTACATGTATTAAACTAAGAATTAATGATAAAATTAGTTCATTAACTTTCAATCACATTTTCATGCCCATCTACACACATAATAATCTATTTAATCATATTTTTTCTACTAAATTTAAATAAATGACTTTCAGTTACATTAAAAATACTAATAAATTTAGTAAAATATTAAAAGTCATCAAACTTCCATACTTGAATGTTTACTTGTCCTTAAGGAAAAGAAAATCACTATATAAAAATGGCAAAAGAAAATGTGAATATTTCCAAGTCAAATGCAATTCAAACTTTCTGGAACTCAATTTAATTAGAAATCTTTCCTTCCTTCCAAAAATAATAGCAGCAAGGCAATTAATTAAGCAAAGATAAATTCCACTAGGTTGTCGCTTACTAGCAAAGTGTTAACACTTTACATTTAAGGTGTCTAAGGGTTGTGTTTCACTTAATTTCATTTATTGTAATCCATCTACCACAGGCTTGTTTTTCATCTCAATTTCCATTAAATTATGCCATTGCACACACAAATCAATAGGACTTTTCAAGGGTTGAAATGTTTTAGAGAGCATAATGAAATGAAATTATTCAATGAGTTAAAATTACATATCCTAGTTAGTGCTAAGCATATTAAATGAGGAGCAAGAAAAGTAAAGGAGAAACCACAACTTTACGATAGGCATTAATGAGGATCAACATTTTTTTCACTTAAAATATTTCTTCTTCTTTTACACACACACACACACACACACACCCTCCTTCTTCTTTCTTTGTTTTTGTTTATTTCACTTTCCCTTTTTTTTTCCTATCACTTTTGAATCCCCAACTCAATCCTAATTCCTTCAATTTCCTTCATAATTGCATTACTTAGCACTTACTAAAGCAATAAATGAGAATAAAAATGGATAAAAATACATAAATCTTAGCAAAAAGGCTTCTGAAGATTTTTTTAAATAAGGTCAAGGCTCCAATGGGTGAAACAAAGGATTTATGTGAAAAAGGATGGTTATTTGGCCAAACTAACTTCAAAAATAAATGCCTAAATCATTTTTGTATATGTAAATAGCTATTACAAGTTTCAATAAAGATTTAAAATAAGTTCTAGAGATGGAATCACAATAAATGCATTCTTTCTTAAAGGAAATAAACATTTACGCTCAAAATTCTCACAAGCTTTTTGAAAAACTATAGTCAATTATCCAAACTTAATCCATTGTCTATTTACTAAAATTTTAGGAAGGTAGAATTGACTTCTAATAAAATGTAATTTTCTTAAGCTCAAATCCATCCAACCTTAGTCGCATTTACAAAAAGAAACCAAACAAAATGACTAAAAAACTATTTATGAGATTTTTAAAATTTTCAAATTTTTTTAATCATTTTTTAAAACTATGTATAATATGTATAACCAACTCTTAAAAAAAAATTTAAGGACAAGTAAAATACCAAATGTAATAGCAAGTACTCCCTTTCCCACACTTAAATTAAAAATTGTCCCTAACATTTAAAGAAATAAAATAAACAAGGAGATAGGGATATTGAAAATCCCCAACAAACAAGGAGATAGGGACATTGAAACTCTCTTAACCAACAGGCGTGGTGAATTGACAAACAGAGAAAGGCTCTGACAAAGAGATGAGAGTAACATATCCTCAAGAGAATACAGTACTTGCTAATCACATTAAATAGGCAAGTGGAGAAGTTGGAAACAAAAAAGTTATATAGAGACTATTAAGAAGTAAGTTGTGAATTATTAGTTACAATTCCTAAAAGTATAAGATAAACAGTCTAAGAAAAAGAAAAAGAAAGTCTAACAACAAGAGAAAAGTCAGAGTTCCATCAGAATAAAAGCTCAGGGCACAACAACAGTAGCAAGAGAAAGAACCGATGATGAAGCTTAAAGATCAAAATCTAGTACATTAATTCTCTTCCATTCTTTTAATTAAATCTTGCATGGAATCCAATTGTCGTTTTATCTAGATGGCTTAACTTTCATTTGATGATATTTGATTTGATGTTTGCCCTTTCTTAGCCATCCAACTATGAGTAAAAGCATGTCATCTATCAATAGATAACAAGGTAAGTGCCACCAAATATCACAAAATAAGAGGGTTGATGACTAAAGGAACAAGAAAAGAGTAAATCTCTAAGGTAGAATTCAAAACATGATAGGTGCATGCAGTAAAAAGAAAAGAAAATATTTTTTTCGATTTTAAATGTATGGGAAGAAAAAAAAAACACACACACAAACAAAGCAACAAGTCTTTGTTTTTTTAAAGTAATTTTCAACTTTTTTTAAATTTCAAAGTAAAAAAAACAAACAAGACAAAATATTTTTTAAGTGAATTTTTTAATAATTATTTTCAAATTTATTGCTGTTATACTTTTATTAGTAAAAAAAACTTTAAGGTTTTTTTAAACCAAACAAAAGACTTCAGTCTATCAAAGCAAAGTTTTACTTCAATAAAGATGTTCTTTGGAACTTTGCCAAGCGTTATACAAAATGGCCCTTCATTCTAGCAAAACAAAGTTTCATTACATCAAAGGTGCTCTCTAGAATTTTGGTGGAAAGTCATAGAGGCATCTACCACTTGGGTGAAATGGGATTTTGCTGCAGTGAAAGTGTTCTCTAGAATTTTGGATAAGAATACAGAGCGACCCTTTGCTGTAGCAAAATCATCTTTCACTGGGGCAAACTTAACAAAAAAAAAAACACTCATAATCTTAGAGAAATACACAAAGCAAAAACTCATAAAAAAATAGCCTAAACACTTCCTAATCAACACAAGTATCATATCGTACCCTCTTCCACACATCCTAACATTTACTTTGCAACTTTCAATCTAAATAGTCATCAACACAAGACCTTGATCATATATAAATGCATAAAAATATTATCAATAAAGCACAAAGATAGGACACTTTCCCAAAATGCTATTGGCTTGTTCCTTCATTCCAAAACTTGACTTCAAGCTTTCAAATTCTTCAAGAACTCTACAATCTACAAACACACTAAATAAAAGAAGATAAAACCAAATATAACTAAACAAACAAACCAAAAACACAAGTAAAAGAGAAACACAACTTGGGTTGCCTCCCAAAAAGTGCTTGGTTTATATGTCCTCAATCAAACTTTCTCAAATTATCAAGGTGGATTCTATTCATTTTGATTGGACACCATTGCAAAATTTGTTCATCTTGTGCATTCTCATTCTTTACTCTTTTTTTATTTCTTCTCTTTGCCTTGTTAAGAACCTTGAATTTGACCTCTTCTCCCACATGGTAATTTTTCCTTTATAAGCATCCACAATAGTTCTTGTTGTTTTGCTA